GAACCGGTCTGTATGTGGGATCCGAACCCTCGGCGGGAGCGCCGCTGCGCTCCCAAGCGGCGCACTGTAGCATAGCAGTGCGCCACCGGGCCAGCCCTTGATTTAATTTTATGTATGTATATATGCATGTGTGTATTTGCAGATTGTCTGACTACACTAGACAGTTTTCTTATGATGTCTTTGTCTGATTTGGTATCATGGTAATATTGGCCTCACAGAATGAATTAGGAAGTGTTCTCTCCTCTTGCATTTTTTGGGAGAGTTTGTGAAGGATTGGCAGGCATAAAAGAATAGAAACTATGTGATTAACTCCATTTATTTGAAGGTAAAAATGAGACAAAATGAATATTTGGTGTTAGGGATTAGGAGAGGGCATGAAATGGGCTTCTGGGATGCCTGGAATGTCCTCTTTCTTGAACTAGGTGGTGATGACCCAGTTTTCACTTTCTGATCGTTTAATGAGCTGTATACTTACTCTCAGGAAAATATAGGAAAATGGTCAGGGCCCCTCAGATGTTCAGAATCTTGCCAAGCATTTGATGTAAATACGCACGTGCGCCCAGGTGTTCCTTGGTTATCATTTAATGTAATTGCACATGTGCACCCAAGTGTCCTGGGTTATGGACTTAAGTATAAAGGATGAGTGGCTCTGATCCAGGATGCCTCCCACCCCCGTGATGCCCCCGGGGGGCCATGGGGAGGCCACTACTACTGCTAGAAGCTGCTGGTGCCCCCAGGACACTCCACAAGACCACTGCCACCGCCGGACCTGTAAGTTGCTACTGCTGAGGAAGCTGAGGACGGAGCTCGTGTTGTCTGCCAACAGCTCCCAGAATCTTTCCCTATTACCTAGCATGGACCTGCATGTGAGGGGTCTGGGGACCCAGCCTGGCATGGGAGGGGTCTGGTGACCTAGTCTGTACAGTGGGTTTGAAGGGTTTGAGCTCTAGCTCTGACAATATAAATGGAAACTTAGTATAACTAAAATAATAACTAAAATAATGATACCTTTTGGCTTTAGTTATGATTTGCCTTACTTTACGCTTACGATCACAGTTTCTGTGTGTATGTCATATGTCAATAAAAAGCAGTGCCATCCCAAGGGTGAGGCAGTAGAAGCGGTTTGACCTGGGTATGGGCAATGAAGGGGTATACTATCTGTAATAAATTTAAAAACAACAATAAAGCTGGCTAAAAAAAATATTTTTAAGTCTATATCTTATTTGCTCCATTAGGTCTTGAGGATTTCATCTCTAATTTTGCTTGGACTTTAACTTATAAAAGGAGAAGTATTTTTTATTTGTTTCTGGAAACATAATGGAAAGCAATTTATACTCAATATACTTTATGTAGCTTACTTTGTACTATGGCATGTCTTTATGCTGTCAATTAGATTTCATTTAATAACCTTTGGTGAGTTGTATTGGACAAGATGGCTGGGAATAATTTGAGCTGGGAAATAGATGGAGTGTTCATTTTCAGCCTAAAGTACAGATTGGCCTTGGAGTTAATTTAATTAATATGTTGTCTTACATGTCTCTGGGGGCAACTACTAAACTGCCCTCAAATGATTTGAGGAGGATAAATAAAGGAACAGAGACTCACATTGGGGGATAGCATCATGAAACGGGAGCAGAACAGTCCTATGAAGTTTCTTCATATGCTGACTTATTATAGTCAATAGGTTAAGTAAATGCAAGTTATTTTTCAAAATGTTGCAGATAACCTCCATTCCTCTGGACTGGTGTTTCTAAACAAGGGAGCCTTCATGTGGCTAATAGTTTGACCTCCCTTTTTATCCAGTGGTAGGGACCAATCTAAGTGAAATGGGGAGAAGAAACTGAGCTTGTGTGGTTCAGACCCCTCTGAGCATTCTCTCTTTTGAGCAGGCTCTCCTCAGTGTTCACCTGATCTCTATTTACTTATGGAACATTTCTAACCCCTGATGGGAGGATGCAAGTTCAATCCACGGGTGAAGGAAATAGGTGAATAAATTTAATTTAGAAGTAAAGTGATTAGGATGTTCACCTGGCTGTTGATTCAAACTACAGCCTTCAATTTAGCTCCACTAATTCTACAGTTGATATTTTGATCTCTATCTCGCTGACGCCAATGTCTTTTTTTCTCATTTGGTTTTAGAACTCGAGGGGATGATAAAGAAGTGATTAATTATCACACCTAAAACTCCAATAGGTTTTAGGTCTCTTTATTATAAACATTATATAGTTTAATAGTGTTTTGTTTTTTTTTAACCTAATCTGAAAGTCGGCCTTTTCTTTGGAGAGTGTAAACCATTTATAGTCATAACTGATGTGTTTGGTTATCCCATCGTTTTGATTTAGATGCCACTTAATTCATTTAAATTCATATTGGCCAAATAGGTCTAATTGGTTCCAAGTCTATCCAGCTAATTAATTAATTCTGTAAGTAGCCTTACACTGCCAAGGCTTTAAGGCCATTTACATGAATAATATATTATTGCTGTTCCAGAATTCAAAGAAGAGAAACCACAGCCGCAACCAAAACCACGTTCTGGAGCCGTGGAAGAAACATTTAGAATTGTTAAGGACTCTCTTAGTGAAGATATTGTGAAAGCCACTCAAGCAGTCTATCAGTTTGAGCTCTCAGGTGAGGATTGCATCTGGTAATCTGGGGCTTTTATGAAACAAAGTAGTGTCCTTTCATAGAAAATCAGCCTCCAATAGTGATCACCTGAATAGTTCTAGAATGTAGACATTCAAGAATAGTAAATAACTATTGATTTGTATTTTTAAGATCAGTGCAAATGGACATGTGTAAAATACAATTTTATTGCAAATACTTTCAGTGTTCAATAATTCCTTGGCATATGTAATTGAGAGAAAATACTATTTAGGCATATGGATCATGACAGGTAGTGTAGTGCAGTAATTTATCAACCATGGTCACCTTGCCATTTTTATCTTTGAGATTACTCAGGTCAGTCTGAATGTAGTCAGCTTTTTAAAACCTCAATATTTTCCTTCTCCATATGAAATCCACACGTTAGTAGTTTTAAGAACTAGCTACCTCAGTCTCATTATAAGCAGACTGTTTATTCTTCGTCTCCTCTGCTTTATCTTAATTCATCCTTGCCTTCCTGTTTTAGTTCCTTGTTATCCTTAGACTCCATGTTCCATTGCTTCAGTCACTTTCCTGCCTTTGTTCTCCGCTTGCTGGACCCTTGTGCTAATGTCAAAAGCCTAGTCCTGGGTGAATCAAACTATCTGGCTGCCCCACAGTTGCATCCAGGCTGCTAAGTCCTGTTGGAGGAAAGGTGAGGGGGAGAGCACACCCCCTGGTGGATCTGTACCAGTAGAAATTCACCATTGCCCCTCCCCAGCTGGGGTCTAAGCAGCACCTCAGAATTCTTTGTTTTTGTGGTCAGCTTACTGCCTCATTTTCCATAGTGACTACTTTAAACTTTCTCAGTGTTCCTTAAATCTCCCATCTCCTTTCACCACTTCCCTGCCAGTATCAGCAGATAATCTCACTTCCTCCTTGACGGAGAAGATAGAAGCATACAAACAAAAATTGCTTCAGCTCCCTACTGTCGGATATGAAATCAACCATTAAAAGCATCTTTCTCTTCTTCCCTCTTGGTAGAATGGAGCTCAGCTCTAGATCAGTTCATCCCAAGCTGTAACATCTATACCGATACCTGGGATCTTCCTAAATGCAAAGTCTAATCCAGTGGGTCTGCGGAAGGGTCTGAGATTCTGCATTTCTGACAGGTGATGGCAGTATTGCAGTCCGTGGCTCACACTTTCAAATAGCAAAGTCCTAGATCCTATTTCCCCTTGGCCTTCTCAGGAACTTGATTTTAATTTTGCCTTCTCTTCAACCTGCTCATCCTGCAGCCTCTTTCCCAACGGTATTTTGATATTCTCAAGTCTGTTCTATCTTTAAAACAGAACATATTAACAATAACAAACCACACACTCCCTGTCTTTTCTCTCCCTTTCAGAGCCAAACTTATTTTCATCCATAACATCCTGAACACACTATGCTCTGATGTAATTTTTCTCCATTCCATAGAACTTGCTTTCACCACGGTCCTCTATGACTTCCATATTGCAGTGGGCATTTGTCATTCCTTGTGGAATTTGTCATTCCTTGTTGCTTTGTGAGCACTCTGCAGCATTTGATGCTGTTTACCACTCCTTCCTTCTGGAAATGCTCCCTTTCCTTGGTTTCCTTGACAGTAGCCTTCTTGTTTTCCTTCTCTGCCTGTGATCATGCCTTGTCAGTCTCCTTTGCTAGATGCTTCTCCATGATCCTTTCCTTAAGCAATGTTCTTCAGGTCACTGTCTTGACACTCTTTACGCTCTACAGCCTTTGTCTAGGACACCCCAGTCACTCACATGGCTTCAGTAACCGAATGAATTGATGAATTATGTTATCTATATTTCTAGCTTAGCCATACTTTATTTGACATTTGTACTTGGCTGACACAAAGATGCCTCCATCTGAAAATGTCCAGAACAACTCACTATTCCTAATACCCGCCTTTGCCACCACCTGTTAAATGTGCTCTTCTTCAGTGGTCCTCTCTCAGTGAAAAAACTCCCATCTTTACCCAGTTTCCCAAGACAAAAACTAGCAAATAATTCCTATACACCTTCCCCACCTTTTCCTCATTATACTCAACCAGTTACCTAGTCTTGTGGTTCTGCTTTGAAATTCTCTCTCAAATGTGCCCACTTTTCTCTATCCCCACTGTCACCATCCTGTTTCAGGCACACATTCTTAAACTCCCGAACTACCCTAACAACATTCTCATTAGCCTTCTGCATCCCTCTTCAGTATATTATCCACACTGCGGGTAGCATGATCTCTTTAAATGCAAACTTTATTATGTCATTCTCTTTCCATGGTGCACCCTATAGGATTAAGTCAGTAAATCTCTCACATGGATCACTGTGCTCGGCAGCTAGACTGCCTCACGAGCTCACTTGATGCCAGTATTTACTCCCCTTCTACCCTCCAGTCTTACTGTACTTATTTTCAGTTCCTCACACATGCTGCACTTTTGGGTTTTTTTGTTTTTGTTTTTGTTTTTCTTATCCTATTCGCTTCAGCTGAGCTTTTCTGACCCTGTTTTTTAATTTAATTTTTATTGTGTTAAAATATACATAACTTAAAATTTGCATTTTAACTATTTCTAAGTGTATAGTTCAGTAGCATTGAGGACATTCATTGTGCAGTCATCACCGCTGTCCATCTGCAGAATTTGTCATCCCAACTGAAGCTCTGTACGCATTGAGTACTAACTCCCCACTTTCCCCCTCCCCCCAGTAACCACTGTTCTACTTTCTGTCTTTGTGAATTTCACTACTTTAGGTACCCTGACCCTTTATTAATATGCACCCACATCACCCTCCACTTCCTCTTATGTGAGAAGAACCATGGTTTGTCCTCCCAACTGAAGCTCTGTACGCATTGAGTACTAACTCCCCACTTTCCCCCTCCCCCCAGTAACCACTGTTCTACTTTCTGTCTTTGTGAATTTCACTACTTTAGGTACCCTGACCCTTTATTAATATGCACCCACATCACCCTCCACTTCCTCTTATGTGAGAAGAACCATGGTTTTTTTGCTGCTGTTTGTTTGTTAAAGAATCTTCAGAGCTTAGCAAAGTGTCTGGAACATAAATAAGTGCTTGATAAATATTTGCTGAATCTGATTGATAGAGGTCTGAGGACTTTAACCTGGGAAACAGCATTTTGTAAGATTATTCTAATTTCAGTTATTAAATTTTATTTTATTTTTTATTATTATTATTATTTTTAAAGATGACCGGTAAGGGGATCTCAACCCTTGGCTTGGTGTTGTCAGCACCACGCTCAGCTAGTGAGCAAACCGGCCATCCCTATATAGGATCCGAACCCGTGGC